ATACAATGAAAAATATTCTAAAAAGGTTTTCGCCTCTTTCATATCGTTGTGAACAGGTTTTGCTTGTTTGCTTTTTGATGAGTCATGACTCATTTCGAAAGGGTTATAGTCAGTAATCATCAATACTTCAGTAGAAGCAGCATGCATTTTGTGAAGAAAGTACCCACTACCGAAGAAGAAGAAGCCGTTCGCCGTAAGGAGAAAGCTATTAAACAGAAACTGTTCTGCACCATCCGTGACAAGATATTCGAAAAAGCTGAGAAAAGTGGGTTTTGCGGTGAGCTATTGAAGAAATACATTTATTGTAGATGAATTTGATGATGGAATGTTAGATTTGACTCAGAAACTATTGGAGAAGAACCCCGACATTCATACGCTCTGGATATATCGCCGGAATACGATTGAAAGTTACTTGAATAGCAGAGACGCATTGGTGAGTTTCCAAACTTTTTATTGTTTTTTATTGCTTCAATTATAGAGAAACAAGGAAGACTCTGCTGATAGTCTTGAGCTTGCTGAACAAAAAGTTGAGAATGTATTGAACAATGAGCTTCATGTTACACAGAATTGTTTTGAGGTTTTACTATTACTGAGAGATTCTCTCACCTCAGTTTCTCCTAGGTCAATCCAAAATCATACACTACGTGGTGCCATAGAGGATGGGTGTTGAAGCAGCTTGCTAATCCTAATATTAAGAAAGAATTGGGTCTCTGTGAGAAAGCGTTGAAGATGGATTGCAGGTATGAAGCATTGGCTTTTTTGAGACTTACAATATCACCACTACATACTGCTATATTAACAACCATCATCCTGAGGCTTTCAGAAACTTCCACGTTTGGGATCATCGAAGAGTTGTAACGAAAATTGGAAACATTCCCAAGGAGGAAGAAATTGAGTAATAAGAAGCGAGTGTTTCATCTAAACGATATTTCATCGTTTCAGCTTCTCGAACAAACTAATTGGAGATAATTTCTCCAATTATTCTGCTTGGCATTACAGAGTGACTTTGTTGCCTCGGGTAAAAGACGAGGAAGCCTTTTTTAATGGCTCTTATCGAATGGATGACAAGACGTTAGAGGAAGAATTGAAGGTTTGCTCCTGAAGCTTTGTGTTTTAAAAATATGATGATGATTTAGAAGGTTACATCAGCTTTCTATACCGATCCAGATGACCAATCAGCATGGGTTTATACAAGATGGCTTCTTGATATCAGTTCTGATAAAGAATGGAGTATGTATTGGATTTTCTTAAGATTTTAATGATGATTATGTAGTGATTCTGGATTCACGATCACCATCCGTACCTGTCAGCATCACGTTCAATGGGGATCGTACAACAATAGTAATGTCTAAAGCAACGAATGAGGATGTTGTACAGTCATTTCTGAAGAGTGAAACAGAAGGAGAACTGATAGCGGTAATGCAATCGACAAGCCAAACAAACAAGTTCTCTTATAGTATTCGGGATTATCGAACAGCCCCAAGACTGCTAAAATCTGGCACTTCACTGGAACAACACCCGTGAAACTTGTAACTAATGGTCTCGATGTTCCTAACTATGACTGTAAAGACGGCAATTACATTAATAAGGTACGTACTTTGAAGACTTCACTCGGTATCTCAAACGTTGCTCAGAAATTTTTCTACCTGGCTTTTGGAATTGAGCCACATAACACCAACTCAGCTGTTCTGAAATTAACCGAGAACTGTAAAGAATTGATTGATTTAGAACCTCAGAATGTGGTGAGCTTTTCGTTTTAGAACAGTGATAACTGGTTTCAGTGGGCTCTGGCAATGTACACCTACTGTCTTATAGCCACATCACCGAAGAAAGAGCATTCAAGAATATTATCGAATTTGAAAAAGTTGTCGGAAGAGTTAGACGTAAAAAGGAAAGAGGTATCATTAAATCTTCTAATATGAACACAATGCAATGTTTTTTAAGATGTATATGGCCTTAGCTTCACGAGAACTTTTGAACGAACGGTTAAGATCTGTTGATGGAAACGGAAAAATGGCTATTGATAACATTTTGAATGATGTGAATTCGAACTTCAGTTTCAGAAATGGACAAGTAACGAGGTTTGCTGGAGAAGTTTCATTAAGTGTAAGAAAACTTTCTTTAGTTTGAATGGGATAGAATATTTGGCCGGTTTCATCAAAGAACTTGATATATCCGGAAATTCTCTTCGTGACGTTCTAGATATTGTTCTACCAAATCTGACTTCTCTTGATCTAGGCTCTAACAAAATCGAAAAGTAATTCTTGTTTGTCGTAACAATTATTATTAAGATGTTGAAAATCATATTTATCTTCAGACTGGAGAATTGTGAAGCTCTACACGGTCTTAAATTCCTGTCGTTAGCAGCCTGTCCTATAGTAAACGCGCAATCAGTGACTGATGAATTGCGAAAAATGAGTTCCTTGGAAAGGTTTCTATTTGCTGAAACAAATTTGAATGGAAAAGATCAGATGAGCCAAGTGGTAGCTTGTCTCTCTACAGAATGCCGCCTAATTCCTCATTGGATGTAAAAAGGTTTTTTTTGTAAAGAAATGCTGGAAAATAGTCAGTACCTTTTATATGTAAATATAACAAAATTTTTAATAAAATAAACTGTTTTATCTTGATAATAGTGAACACAAGAAGTTGAAAAGAGTTAGTTAGGCATTTGACTAGATGATGGCGAAATATCATTGCAATGTGAGAGGAACAAGAAGGTTAGCGATAGATATAGTTCAAACTTCTAACCCATACGAGATACGTAGCAAACGAATATCAGTTGGTAGAGCGAATTTATTTCATCAGTCTTCAGTCAGGTTAATTCTGATTTGCAAAGCTGTCTATGATGATACAAAGACATGATTCCAAGTGAATTACAACCAGCAGTTACCTCGGAACCGCAACTCTGAGTGTCAACTAGATTTTGAGACAGAAATATAAAAAAAATGAAGTTGTTTACATCTTTCCTTCTTCTCACATTGAAAAGAAAATTTCTTTTCTAGATCCCCCACCCCCTTATCACCTTTCTCTCTCTCTACATCTTCCCCTCTCTCTTCTCTCTCTTCTTATATCTTTCAATCCCCTCCCACCGTTCTGGACGGTTTTCGGTGTAATGCAACCGTTCTGAACGGTCTAGTATGGAATGCAACTTTTCGGTGCGTTTCAGATGAGCCCTAGATTTCTCCAGGTCACACCCCTGTCTAGCGAGCTTTTCCCCTCTCTCTGAAGGACATCCAGAGAGAGAGGAGTGGAGCTCACCAGCTCACACCGCCCACTTAAGCTTCATGAACATTTGACGGCTTATATATCGCATTGGTGAAGACGCGCCACGTGGAAACAATTTTTACGTGAGAAAAAAATTGACCCGGTTCTGGTGAACATTGTATCTAAGCTCAAACTTGATGAAATTGGTTGGTTTTTGTGTTATTCTATATCAAAATTCAATTTTAAATACAGATATGAGCTTTTTCTGTTAATCTGAGCATTAAATTTTGTTGAAAATGATTAAAACCTTGTTCATAAGACTATCGGCTCAAACATACATGGATTAGAGGATCTGTCGAATCGCAACCAACCGGAAAGTCTATATTATACGAAATATTCAATCTTTTTCAATTTTATCTTATCTTTATTGCTTCTAATTATGAACGTCTGCCAAATGCTAATTACGGTAGCTCCAATCGTTCTAATCATTGTGATTATTGCGGATATTTGCGGATATACGTGATCTTACGTAGGTTACTTTAATCACGCAGAGCTTTTTCATGACACCTCAATTGTTTTCGAAACTGATTTGGTTATGCAAATTTCTTTAATATTTTTCTTTTTTGTTTTCTTCTGTTTATATCCAGTTATTATAGGTATTACCACGATGATGCATGAACTGAACAGAAGTGTCTAGTCGGAACGAGGAGATCACGATCTACGGAAATTAGTAAGATACTCTTGATTTCGTACGTTGTATTCCGCCTTTCAGTTGCCAGTCGTCTCAAAAAAGGATTCTTATATTTCTAGGCATATTGTAACTCTGGTTTATGAATGATGTGAGTGCTCTCGCATCCTGCATGTTCGAGACCTTTAAAATATAGTTGGCGGAGGGTAGGGTTACTCCTACTGATAGTTACTCATTTTTTTAATTTACAGAATAATTATAATTATGTTCTACTGAATTCACGTCGTGACTTCTAGGACAGTCTAGCAAGCCGAAAGAAGTTGAATGTTATCAATTGTTAGAAGGTATTTAACTCCTATGGATGAAATTTCTATACTCTCAACTTTCACAGATTGACAGACGACAATGACTGGCTAGTCTCTCACATGAGGTCCAGACACGGAGGAAAAGAAGTCAATAAGACTGAGATCTGCCACATACAGTTAGCTCCTGCACTTTTCAAGTTTGAAGTTGGTTTACCGTTTCCTATTCACTTCTTACGGAAAACTTTTCAGATGCTCTCCTGCTTCCATTTGATATTTTGTACCGACAGTTTTCCCAGATGTTCTTGAAGCATCGTCCACGCAGATGACGTCTATGCTGAATAACCAAAGTAAGCACACTTATTCGTTTTTTGAAAATCTACTTTTTCAGAAACTTTTCACTGTGTCAATGCTCTCCTGCTTCCACCTGATATCTTGTATCAACCGTTTTCCCAAATGCTCTTGAGGCAACCTCCACGCAGCAGACGTCTATGTAGATTAATTCAAGTAAACACACTTACTCGCTTTTTTGAAAAATTATGTTTTCAGGAACTTTTCACTTTGCCCTTGAATATAGCTTGCAGATTAGAAAGCAAAAGTTCAGGGCATAGTCTTGATATTAGGTTCTTCCAGGCTTGGTCGGATTCTTCTGATAGCCTGTATGAGGAAATGAAACAGATCGGCATTGTGAAACTCATTCTGGATGATCTAAGAGGTTAGTCGATGATTATAGAAATCGAATTTGATGAGAGAAAGAGCTGAAAATGCCTTATAAGATGAGGACTGGATGTTTCAGGTTGCGATTCCATTTTTACACAACAAGAAGGTTTGGAGTAAATAGATAAAAAGGGAAAGCATTCTGATGAAATCTGTTCGCGGATGTTCACGCACTACACTCTTGGCTCAGGGTACTGCTCTTTCTCTCTAAAGCATCCCGATTTCAGAAGTTCCCTTGGTAGAAAAAAACCATAATAAAGATTTCGATGGGTGTTGGTTGCAGCGGCTGTTTTCATAGTCCGTTGAACTGTTTTTATGTTGGTTTATGTTTAGGATTCATCAGTGTCAGGCCCAGTTTCTGCTCCTGAGTCTGGAGAGATATGAAACAGCTCTGGGGGTTAGCAAGAAACTCTGCTTTGTTTCGAAGAAAAATAAAGCCTTTCACTATTTTTTGTATTTTTTTAATAAAATTTTCTGGTTTTGTTCCGAGGCCACCTTGCCTCAACCCATTCTGAAAATATTAAAAATCCTGATCGCGTCGAGACTAATTTCTGAAATTTTCAAAATTTGTCAAAAATTAGAAATTTTTTCAATTTAATTCAAGCTTTTCTCTATTTAATTTGTCTTATATATATTATTATTTGATATTAAAATTTTCAAAAAGCGTTT